CAAAAGGTAATCTAATAGTTAAAGAAAAGTGGACATAAAATTGGTGACATGGCTATACTGAGGGCACAGAAGGAAGGTAGTTGGGTGATATAAATAGTAGGAGGTCAACAATCAATGACTAAAATTGATGAATGTTGAAAAGTAGAAAACCTGTACGTTATTTAGAGATATGAAGAAAATTATCAGAAAAATGCAAAACAGTTAAAAGACTTGTAGATTTCCAGGTCAAGATGACAGGCTTACCATGTGTTTATCTCCAGTCCTTCGTGAGATCCTGCTAAAATGATAATCAAGGAATAAAAAGGGTATAAAAACACAGTGATGAAGAGAACGGGAGCAGGTCCATCAGCAAAAGAAAAATTTCAACACATTTCTGGAAGACAGGAAGTAAATGGAAGAAAGATAACTGATGAAGCATGGTAGAGGAGACATGGCCTGGAGTGTGCATGGAGGTGATGCCTCTGAGGAAGGAGTTGGTCTTCCTCTGCAACCCTGGAGAATCTTGGGTCTTCACCATGCCAGGTATGACGAAGGCTGGGAGTTGTGGGGCTGAAACAAGGAGTTTAATTGGAAGGCTGTATATCAAACCATCAACCCTTTGTGCACAATTCACAGCAGCCAGCTATCTCTCCATTAGGCAAAAACTGGGGAGCTCTTCTCTAAGGAAAGTGAACAACCTCAGAGTAAAGATCTTACCATTCTGGCACTCAGAGACTCTGCAGCATAACAGTCAGCTCTCCTCTAAAAGTCCTAAAGGAAAGTCACCAGTTGCCTCACCCTGCGCCCCTCCCCAAGAGCTTTCAATCAGATTCTCATTGCTACACTTTTAAATAACAGAAAGCAACTGTGGACCACATGGTTTTCTTTGAGAAAAGATTGCAATATGAAATAAAGAGACCAGAGTAAGCAAACAAAATGGGGATGGTGGCATATACCTATAATTCTAGCACTTGGGAGGCTGAGGCAGGAGGATCACTGTGAGTTCAAGACCAGCCTGAACTACATAGCAAAACCCTGTCTCAAACAAAACAAAACAAAACACAGAACAGGCAAACAAGGGGGAAATCCCAAATAAATTAATATTTCAAATGGAAGTAAATATAAAAATAACTGCAGTACTATCACAGATTCAAGATGATAATGGATCCATAAAACAAGAACAGGATGCCATAAGAAAGGAAAAGAGAACATGAATGAATAGTTGAAAATTTAAAATGTGATTGCCAAATGAAAATAAATATAATTGAAAGGTTGAAAGATAAAGTAAAATCTTCTCCCAAGAAGTGAACAAAAACAAAGGAAGATAGGGAGAAAGACAGAGATGGAGGGAGGTGGGAGGGAGAGAGGAAAAGAGAGGGAGACAGAGATGGAAAACAGGATATAATGGATAAGAATTTACAAAAGAAAAATACAGGAGTTCTAACATCCAGCCTCAAGGAATTCCAGAAGAAAACAGAAAATGTGGAAGAGGAATATACCAAAGTAATAATAGAATTTCCCAGCATTCTGAGAACTTCAAAATGGGATATAACAAGTGATGGGCACAATGAATGAAAAAAAATTCCAAACCTAAACACATAATTATGAAATTTTAGAACACCAAAGATAAAACTCTAAAAAAAATAACAGGAAAGGGAGTGGACAGAGAAGTACTTTTCCCCATTATTCATACCAAGTATAGCTAAAAGCCTTGGAAATTATATGAAAACATGACTCTTGAAAGGTGGAGATAGTGGTAATCCAGTTAGGAAACTTGGTAGCAGAGGAGTGACGTGACAGTAAGTTCCCTGAATTTGTTTTACACATCAGACATCCCAGACTTAGGGTCAGCGAAGCCATCAACTAAATAATAACTGTTCTAACTCCAACCAAACACCACAGAATAAAATTGTGGCCTCACTCCTCTGCACCAGCAACGGTCAAGAAGGGAGCCAAGACTTTCATCCTCACTGGCTGTAATGGATCGCTTCTCTCCCTTTCCGCCAGGGTGGTATCAGAGAAGGTTGCATGGGCAGCTGGAACTCCCATCCCCACCTAGCAGTAACCAGGAAACCCTCCCCTCTACAGTATGAATGGAGACCAAATGGAGAACCTGGATTCTCATACCTACCTGGCACTAGTGAGGCGGTGTTCCCTCTTCCATGGCTAGAGTGGTGGCTGAGCAGGGAAGCTAAAACAATATTTAAATGAGATCCAGCATCTCATAACACAGTACCCTAAATGCCCAAGTTTCAACTGAAAATCATTTATCATACCAAGAACCAAGAAATCTCAACTGGAATGAAAAGTCACTCAACAGATGCAAACACTGAGATGACTTATCTGAGAAGAGTTTTCAAGGAGACATCATAAAACTACCTCAACAGTTAGGAACATGTTTAAAACAAATGAAAAAGTAGAAACTGTCAGCAAAGAAATAAAAGATATAAAGAACCATATGGAAAATTTAGAAGTGAAAAATACAAAACCTAAAATTAAAAAAACCTCAGTGGAGCTGGGCATTGGTGGTACATACTTGTAATCCCATCACTCTGGGAGGCTGAGGCAGGAGGATCACAAGTTCAAGCCCAGCCTGGGCAACTTAGTGAGATTCTGTCTCAAAATTAAAAATTAGAAAAGGACTGAGTATATACCTCATTTTGAAGGCTTGAGTTCAATTCCCAGTACCACCAAACAAATAAACAGCCTCAATGGATGAGCTAACAGCAAAATGGAGAGGACAGAGGAAATAATCAGTTAATTTGAAGACTGAACAAGAGAAATTACCCAACCTGGAAAACAGAAAAAGTGAACACAGCCTCAGCGACCTGTGAGACTATAAGACTTAACAGTTGTGTGTCCTTGGGATCCTAAAAGGAGAAAAATTGATGGGGAAAGTTGCCTATAAAACAGTGAAACTCAGTCTGATAATTTCTTACCATTAAAACTAGATGCTAGAAAGAAATGGAACAATGCCTTCAAAGTTATGTGGGAAAATAACGACCCACAAACTCTATAGCCAAGTGTGAAGATGGAATAAAGGTATTTTCAGATACGCAGACTCAAGATGTCTACTTTCTATACAACCTTTTTGAGAAATTTACCTAAGGATGTGCTCCATCAAAATGATGGGGAAAACAAGCAAACAAGACCAGGGAACCAGTAAATAAAGGATATAATCATGGAAAGCAGTGAAGGGAAATTTCAAAATGACAGCTACATAACAGGCCTTAGAAAACAACTAGTCCAGATTTGAAAAGGAGATGAAGGGATCCAGGTAAAGGACTCCTGCGGTAGGGGAGTAGACAGTGAAATTCTTAGTGTAATAGAGGTTTTGAAAAAATGGAATACATGATAAAGTAAAATAGTGAAAGAGAAAAAATGAATCTGAAACTACAGAAAAAGGAACATTTTCTAGAAAGAAAAATTATAAAAAGTAGACCACATCAATTTTCAACTTTTAGAATTAAGCAATAGACAAAACACCAAAAAGGAAAAACCCTCAATCATGATTACAAAACAAAATTCAATATTATCAGTTTTGACAATATAAAATGACAGATGACAGAAGCTAGGAGGTTAGTGGTGGGGAAGAGGAAAGAATACTTTCTGATTTAACAAATTTCTGCTCAAGAAATACTGTCTCTAGCACAAGGAATAAAAACTAAAGGTATTAACTGAAATTCAGAAACAAAAACTAAACTATATTAGGAGCAAGAAAGATAGGAGTTGAACTTGGTATAAATGATCTAAATGCTCACCTGTCACAGTGGACATCAGTATGAAATGTCTAAAGTTGATGATTTTAAAAAATTCCCACATAGCATATTATTTAGGTAAGGAGGTATCAGAGGAAATAAGAGTGGATGCTAAAAATGAGATGGGGTTGGAGATGTATAGTAGTGGACTCTTGCTTTTCATAAGCTTTTGGTACTGATTTGAGTTTTCTAAATAATGTAAATGCATTACTTCTATTTAAAAATGAACAAAAAAAATAAAAATGAACATTTGAGGGAAACATTAATTTTTAATAGCATAAAAAAAGGACACTCCTGCCCATGACCCACCTCTTCCCAAATTTCCTTGTCCCTCTGGACCTACTGCAGCAGAATATAAGGTTTGGGAAAACTTGTAGTCTCCCTTCCTGCCTCTCCTTTAAGTGCAGCCCCTGTTGGTCCAACTGGAATATTTGTAGCCCTTGTCTCCTTGTTCCCTAGCCCTAGAAAGCCCTTCCTCATCTCCACCAATTGGAATATTCTTTAAAGCCCAACTGAAATTCCACCATCTTCTCCAAGTCTCCCTGTCCCCTGGTAGAATTTGTCTCCCTCCTCAAGGGCTCTCATAAGCCCTCATTCATTATGACATTTACATGCACTTCCTTCACATACATTATTTGGGTCAGTGTTTCATGCCAACCTTCCTTCACATCAGCTATGAGATTCCTAATCTACCAATTGGTCACTCCCTTGCCTCAAATCCTCCTACAGCTTCTCATTGTTTATAAAATCAAAGCTACGCTTGAATACCTTCTATTGAACACAGCCTCACTGAAATGTGTTGCCTAGAAATGATGGGAAGTGATGTGTACAAAAGGAGAAAGCAGTAGGAAAGCACTAAGAGATGCAAGTGGAAGTCTAGGTTCTGCCACTAAACCACTAGAATTTTGGGTAAGCCATCTCACCTCCCTGATCCTCAGGACTTATGTCCTGAAATCTCTGTTGTAGCACTTGTGTTCCTGTGCCAGGGCCTTACCCCAAGGCATCACGTGTAATCCTTTCTATCCTTGAGGTAGAAGTTAGTTATCCAGGTTATTATCCACACCTACTGAATTTGATTTCCAGAGAGGCAGGGCAAGAGCAATTTAAAGAGCTCCACATCCTTGGGGCGGGGGAGGGGAATCAGGGAAATGCTGCTCTCCATTATAAGCCCTTCTTTACTATTTTATTTTTCATCTGTGTATATACTGCTTTGATTTTTAAAAGGAAAAAGAAAAAGCTTCACAAATGACTCTGACATACATCCAAGGTTGATAAATACCTTTATAGTGGAAAAAGCAAAAGAATGAACTGGAAGACATGGATTCAAGCTGACTGTCATCTGGTAGGTGGGTCCCTTATAACCCTTTGGGGGGCCTCAGTTTTATTATTTGTGAAGTAAAGAGAGTGGTAATTGCTACCTTTAAAAAGGTGTGGTGGCCAATGCTTGTGATCCCAGCACTCGGGAGGCTGAGGCAAGAGGATCACCGCAAGTTTAAGGTCAGCCTGAAGTACATAGCAAGACCCTGTCTCAAAGGCCACCACCCTAAAAGCTGTGGTAATCTAGATAGGCCAGCCACATTGTTTTAAACACATTTCACATAATCTTCCTTTCACTGCTACAAGGTAGGTATTTATTATCTCCCTTTAATAAAATGAGGAAACTGAGGCTCAGTGGTGAAGCAACCTGCACAAGTTTCTATAGATAGGATTCAAAACAGGTCTGACCTCCAAACTATCCCAACATTTGCCAAATTATGACACATGCACCACTGGTAGTATGTGACTTCTTTGGTTGAACACAGACAAATTTCTTGTTTAGATAGTCATGCCTTTTAATATGTATTAGAAAAATACATAATTAGCACATCAAATCTATGACTTCATGAATATCACTACTTAGGATAAACCTGTAACAATGTTAGACCTCAGATCACCTCAAGAAAAATACTGAGTAAATAGTACTGGAGGGCAAATTGGAAATAGCTATTAAAAACATACATAAATGTCCTATGACTCTGCAATTCCACTTCTAGGAATCAATCCTAGGTAAATTTTCATACACACACAGATATAGGGATGCTCCTATGTAGTATAACAGCAAAAACTGAAAACAGTCTTAATGTCCATCACAAGAGAAATGGGAAGTAAAATGTGTAGATTCACATGATCGCAATCTATACAACCATTACAGAGGATGGATTTACACTTAGCAACATGCACAGATCTCAAAAACATTGTTCAGTAAAGAGAGCAATCAGAGAACAATTCAATACATTTGCATTAGATACAAAACATTCTCAGTGAATTCATATATGTATATAAAGCTATTAAAACAAAGTCTAGATGGAAGTACAATAAACATAATAGCAGTTAAGGGGGGAAGGAGCAGGAGGGGGAGTAGTTGGTAGTTGAATGAGACTACCTTTATCTATAACAACCTAATTTCTTAAAGAAATGAATTCATGCATTACTTTAATAATTAGGACTTTTTTTTTTTTTTGGTACTGGGGATCGAACTCGGGTCCTTGCGCTTGTGAGGCAGGTGGTGGAACCACCGAGCTAAATTCCTAGCCCTAATTAGGACTGTTTTTGGAAATGCTAGGGATGGAACCCAGGGCCTTGTGCACGCTAAGCATGTGCTATACCACTGAGCTACATCACCAGCCCTGATTTAACTCTTAAAAAGCAATACACAGATTAAGGTAAGACAAGTGTACTAATGTGTGGGAATGACTGAAGGCTGAACTCATTGCACTTGGCTTTGCTGCTTCTGCACAGTCCTTGCAGCTAATGAGGTTAGTTCCCAATACGAACCACGTTAGGCTGGGATGTGGCCCAGGCTACCTTTCCCTCTAGTTCCTCACATCCCATCTGGGGGGTCCAGGTACCTGGTTCCACACATGGTTGAAGCTACAGGCTTTCTAAGGCCCTCCACTTATCAGGTAAACCCCTAGCAGTGCCCTGAAACGTTCCCAGTAACCAGAGCATTTCAGTACCTCCCAGATTTGGAGGTCCCTTCTGTCCTTGAAAGCTGGGATCAGCTTTCAGGGGTCCAGGCTTGTATTCTTAGGGGTCAGCACCTAGTGGGCTCTACATATGGATAAGGCTCCAGTGGGGAGCTTGACATTATTAAATCCTATGAGGTAGGTAATACTGTTAGCCTCATTTTACAGACGAGGGAACTGAGGCACAGAAAGGTCAAATGATTTGCCCAGTGCCAAACAACTAGTAAGTGATAAAAAATGGGACCAGAACCCTTAACTGTCTGTCCCTAGAGCCCATGCTCAGCTCCTAGTGCCTGACTAGATCCTACCAATTTATCAAGGTCCAGCTCAAATCTGACTTTCTCCAGGAAGTCTGGAGATCATCCTCTTCTCATATTTGAAGTACTTAAGACACTTGGCTAACTGTAGTAATTCATGATCCCATTGTATTTCCTACCAGGAGAGATGTCAGATTCAACTCAGTATTCTAGGCTTAGAGCCTGACAAATAAAAGGTGTTCGGTATATGTTTGATAAGTACACAAATGAATAAGTACAATGAATGAGGGGACTTTCTGGTGACAGCCTAAGACTCCTATGAGGAACCCAGAACCTTTATTCAGCTCTGGGGTGCTGTCATCCTAAGCTCTCTTTGGAATCAAATTCAGCCTAGGCCTCTTCTAAGATAGGTCTCCAATATATTTTATTATTTTGCAAACATACCCACATGCATATGGGCGAACACACATATGCACACATACAAACCCACACACACATGGGGAAGGGACTCGTTATTATAGGTAGGAACTGGGAGGGGGATGGACTGATGGCCCTGTTCAGCTCAGCTCAGCTCAGCACCTCCTTCCAGAGGCCAGGATGCCCCCTGTAGCTCAGGAATTTTGCTCCAGACCTAACATGACCTTTGTTCCTCTTCGTGCTTCAGAGCAGTATCTAAATCCCATGATTAGATCAAACAAGGCTATTGGATATGAAAGTTGGGAGCCAAATATCCAATGATTGAGAGAGGGGCAGTTTGGGATCCAGACAGGGTGGTAAGACAGAACTACTGCTACTGTTCATTGGGGTTTGGGTTGGCATCTGGGTACTTGGTAAGGTCGAAGGTCAGGACTTTGCTGATCACACAGTCCCCTTGCTGAAGGAGGAGGGAGAAAAAGAAAAATGAAATGTTAGAATAGAATTAAGAGGGGTCTAGTGCCCCAGGACCAGGGGCCTCAAACCCTCCTATGTACCTGCCTAAACCCCAGGCAATGGATCTTCCTGAGTGGGAGAAGATGTTCTTGTTCCCACGTGCCTTCTCCTTCTTTGCCTACCCATGTATTCTCTGCCTTTCTCTACTGTCTAGCTGCCTCTGCCTGGGCTTTCTAGCTGTCCCCAAATGGAAGTGCCCTACCCAGCTAGGCTAGCTAATCTTCCAGGGCAGGGCTCCAGTAAGTCCAGATGGCCGGACAGGACCTGATTCCCTATGCTCCCCCACCCCTTGCCCTTACACTGAAGCCTTCCCTTCTTGCCCTGGGGAGGCAGGCCTGCCTTACCTCAGGATAGACTCCAATGAGGCTCTCAGCCTTGGTGTAGAACTCCTCCTTGAGAGAGATGACGATGGCCTGGAAGTTGCAAGTCGACTGCTCCTTGATATAATTCGCCACCTGTGGGAGGGGCCACCAGGCACTTAGCAAGGCTCAAACTCAAACACCCTTCCCCTTCTCCACTGTATTTTCTAATTTGAACCAGTAGGCAGAGGGGGTAGGGTAGGGGTGGAGGGCTCAGGGGAAGAGAGGTTAAAAACAAGCTACCAACCACTATGGCATGAATGACCCTGGGCCCAGCCTCCCAGGCTCAGAAAGCATGCAGCAGAAAGAGCTGGGGCACACTGAGGAGTTGCTCCTGGAAACCCAGCCCAATCTAGTAGCCTCCCTCCTGGGTCCCACTTTCCTTGCACCTACCTTGCCAATGTTGGTGTTATCCAAGGCAGCATCGATCTCATCCAGGACAAAGAAGGGGGCTGGCTTGTAGCTGGGAGGGAACCAGTAGGTAAGCTGATACCAAGGTGGGTGGGACAGGCCCAGGGTACATCAAAAGGCTAGCTATCCCCCTCCAATTCATGAGAGACTAAAAAACCCAGGTCTTAATGCTGCCTGGGCCTCTAAAGCCAACCCATCAACCAAGCCCTCCTCTGTACCTAGCCCTGTGATTCAAAATCCTGCAGCACCATGAATAACTTGGTGATCCCAGGAGCTTCCAGGCTGGCTGGGGAAAAAGAAGTGTCCTCACCTCTGGCCACACTGACCAAGCTATGCAATGGTCCACCCCGCCCCTATACACACCACGTTCTGCCATGCCTCCTTGCCTCTGTAGCAAGAAGACCTGCTGGCCTCCCTGACAAACTTATATTCCTGCTCAAGTGTCATTTGCCCTCAAAAGCTTTCCCCAGCCCACTCACACCCTCCCCCAGAATGGATTAAGTATCCCTCCTCTGTATATCCACAGCACCCATGCTCACCCAGTTACCACACACTTAGCACAATGTTTATGTGTCTGGCTTCCACTAGTCTGTAAGCTCCTCCACACCAGAGATCATGGCTGACTCATCTCTGCCCCCAATCCCTCCACAGGATCTGGTACAGAGCAGCTCTCATAAAATGCTTGCAGAATGATGCTGTACAATTAAATACTAAGTTATAGGGTGCAAACTCAAGTACTACTGGTATTGTGTGGAGGAGTGTCAGAGTATGCCACAGCGGTCAAACAGGGCTTCCTAGAGGAAGGGGAGAACAAGGAAATGTGAAGGAGTGGAAGGTGAAGTCAAGCTAGATTTGCATAGAAAGGGCTTATTAGCCAGCAACCATGTGAGCAAAAGCCTGGAGGTGGTACTGAATACAGTCAGAGGTCAGTGAGGACATGCTGAGGAAATGAGGGCGGAACCCCCCCCCATAGGAAATAAGGGTGCATTTCAGATGCCACCAAAACATCTTCACCTCTGCAGATCTCAGCATAGCCTTGGGGCCCAGAGCCTAAGTTCAGTCCCTCTGCCAACTGCCCTAGGAGGCACAGCCTTACCTATGAATGGCAAAGAGGAGGGCCAGAGCTGCTACTGTCTTCTCTCCCCCTGACAAGTTATCCATAGGCCGGAAGCGTTTGCCAGGAGCCACACAGTTGTAGTTGATGCCATCTAAGTAGGGTTCCTCAGGGTTCTCAGGACCCAAGAATGCCTGGAGGAAAGTAAACAGGACAGGATTTAGATCACAGCCTGGATAAACAGGGAGACAGGAAGTCTAGAAGGAAGGGCAACTGAGGAAAGTAGGAGCTGGCTAGGTAAGGGGCTCTAGCCTACCTGGGCACTGCTGTTGCGGGACAGAGCCTTATAGATTTCATCAATGTTGGTAGCCACAGATTCAAAACAAGCATTGAAACGATCAAAGCGCTCCTTCTTAATCTGTTCAAATGCCTGCTTGGCCTTCTTTGCTCGCTTTCGGGCTGCCTCAAACTCTGCCAGAAAGAAGGACAGATGATCCCTTAGTGCCCTGGGTTCTTTCAGGGCTGAGGACCATATCATGGCAAGAACGATTTGTAGGGCAGGGGATTTAGCTCAGTGGTTCCACCGCCTGCCTCGCAAGCGCAAGGTCCTGAGTTCGATCCCCGGTACCAAAAAAAAAAATTAATAAGAAAAGAATGATTTGCAAATGACCATTCAAAGCAAGGATATCCCACAAGGAAAGGAATGCCTGAAGATGGTCCCACAAGGATCTGTATCCAGTAGAGGAGACGCTGGATAGAGAAAGAAACATAGGCCTAGAGCCACATAAACATTTTTCCCCTTGTTCTACCAGCAATTAGCTTTGTGACGTTGGGAAGTTCATTAACTCTCTGGAAAGCAAGTGTGATAACTCCCACTGTTTAGTGCACTTGGGAGTTTTAAGTAAGAAAGCATGTAAAAATAGGAGCCATTCTGATATAGCAGCAGGCCCTTCGCATACCTATAACCTTTTGTCCTCATCTAAGGCAACCAAAGAAACAAATCTTACCATCTGAGGTTTCCTGGAACTTGTCTCTGACACTTTCCAACTTTTCCATGGCCTTCATGTTGGGGGCAGCAATACGCTGAAGCACACTTTGCTGCTCATTTAGCTTCTGCTGCAGTGTGTTCATCTCCTGTTTGATCTCTTCCTCAGCCTGGGCATCCTATAATCCCAGGCCCAACAACATTAAAGAGAGCCTAGCCCCTCTGCCAAGGCCCCCAGAGATGACTAACCAGGTGGGGCCTGAGCACCTACTCCCATGAGGAAGGCAAGTTGTTGTTCTCCAACTTAACTCTTTCCACCCAGTCCTGCCCATGGTAACTGTTCCTATCACCCTTGGAAATTACAGACTGATACTGCTTTATCATCTCTAGCCCTTCCCCCAGGCCCTGCCAACCTTTTTGTCTCTGGAGGAGCATCTAGTAGTACCCCTTTCTGGCTCTCAGCCTAGGCCAAGAGCCAGCACTATCCTAGAGTGACCTAAAGGCTCCCACACAGACTGCTCTGGACTCCACTTACAGCTCCACATTTACTAAGGGAACTCGTGTTTTTTTCTTAGATCATTACATCTGAGCAAATTCCACTCAAGTTTGATTTTAGGTCTTACAGTTATTGGAATGCATGTCTGAACTTATACCTTTCTGCCACTTTTAGTCAATAACTATTTACTGAATGCTACCAAGTACTAGGCACTGGGTTGTCATGTCCTGTGAGCCATCCTTCCTGTGTGTACAAAACCCAGGAAGCTAACAGAGGAACACCCATAAGTAAACAGTCAGAATACTGTAGGTTGAACACAAAAACAAGCAGACTGTTCAGTCAGCACAAAAAAGGCAGCTGTAGCACATTTGCCATAGGTTCACCACCACTGGCTTAAAAGGTTTAGCCTTCTTCCCAAGGGAGACCACTGAATGAGTTAAAGAACAAGTAGAACATGAATATATTTATATTTTAGAAAGTCCTTTTGTTTTTTTTTGTTTTTTTGGTACTGGGGATCAAACTCGGGACCTTGCACTTGCAAGGCAGGCGCCAGAACCACTGAGCTAAATTCCCAGCCCTAGAAAATCCTTTTGAAGATCTCTATACACTGCTGTGGATGGTCTCCAGGATAGGCTTTTAAATGAAATATTAAAGGTATACAAAAGTATATTATCTTTAATCTAAGAAGTAGAAAGAATATGAATATATTTGAGTGGAGATATATTTGCATTTTAAAAATACAACAATAAAGGATAATCCAAAACTGATTAAAAGGGTGACCTATCAAGAAAGAAAAGTGGGGGTGGGGCTTAGCTCAGGGGCACTGTGCCTGCCTCACAAATGCAAGGTCCTGAGTTTGATCTCTGGTAGCAAAAAAAAAAAACAAAGGTAAAGGGGAGAGGAATAGAAGTTAGACTTCTCTTCATGTACCATGTTTTCTTATTTTGGTTCTAGAACCACATGAAGATGTCACATAGTTATAAAACAAATTAAATCAAAATGTAAGCGCCACTGGGCAAAAAAACTGTTAGAGAACAAGAGTCACACGATGCCAAATTATTAATAAAAATGACTAATGAAGATGCTAAAAGTGTACATTTAGCATCGAAGGAGCTGGCAATTGACACTTTATAACTGTGGGACCAATTATCTTTAATAATGAACAAATCTCAATATAATGCACCTCCTGAAGAGATGCAACATAAAGAATACTGCACCACCAATACAGCATTCTTACCAAAAAATATTTAACTTGAATCCATCAAGCCTCCAGGCTAGATCAAATTTCCAATTTAAAAGAGATACAAGGGTTGGAAGGACAAATTAAACAATACACAAAGAAACCAACATATCTATAATATGGAACATTTTCCAAGATAATTCAAACAGCCTCTTCAAAAGATCAGTGCCATGAATAAAATATAAAGGGACTGGTCCATATTAAAAGTAACTAAAGAGATATAATAACAAAAAGTGGCTGGGTATAATGCCAGAACTTGGGAGGCTGAGGGAGGAGGACCTCAAGTACCAGCCCAGCCTGGGCAACTTAGTGAGGCTCTATCTCAAGATTAAAAAATGGGCTGGAGATGTAGCTTAGAGTGAATTGGATTAAATCCCTAGCACTGGGAGAAAAAAAGAGAGGAAGAGAATGAGAGAGTGAACGAGAGAGAGAGAGACACACACACACACACACACACACACACACACACACACACACAAAGACAGGGACAGGTAATATTAGCTTAATGGCTGAGTGCTTGCCTAGCATGAATGCGGCCTTAGGTTCAATTCCCAGTACTGCAAAAAATAAGAATTTAAAACAGCTTTACTTTTTAAAAAAGAAAAACTAGAGAAAATACTTTTGGACCACCTAGGACAGTAGTGGTGAACCTCCAGCACACATGCTGCAGCGGGCTGTTTGTATCACTGAAAGCTCTAAAAGGTTCACCATCATTGACCTAGGGGAATTCAAATATGGGCTAATAGTAAATATTATGAAATAATTATTCATTTTCTTAGGTGCAATATGGAATTGTGGTTATGTAGAAAAATTCCTTATTCTTAGCATGCCAAAGTATTCAGGGTTGAAATATCATGACATCTGTACTTGAAAAGTGTGCATGTAGTAGGGTGATAGAGGGAGGGAAGAGAGATGATAGAGAAACTAAATGCAGTAAAAATATTCATTGGTGAATCTAAGATGAAAGGTGTATGGGTGTTAACTGTTCCTTCTACTTTTATATAGGTTTGAAAAATTTTAAATTTAAAGTAGGGGAAAAATAAATTGAAATACTAAAAGAAGCAATCCTTAAAAACAAAACAAAGACCTGCTGCGCAAGCGCAAGGACCCAAGTTCGATCCCCGGTACCAAAACAAAAAAACAAAGCGGGCCAGGAATTTAGCTCAGTGGTTTCGCTGCCTGCTGCGCAAGCGCAAGGACCTGAGTTCGATCCCTGGTATCAAAAAGAAAAAAAAAAAAATGTAACTATATATGGACCTGGTTGAATCTTAAAGAGAATCCTTCCAACTTACATTAAAACAGAAACATGACTATACATGCCCAATGAGCTTAAAGACAAAAAGAACATCAAGGAAATTTAAAACGATATTCAGTCATCAAAATCTTATTGTGATTTTCAAACTACTATATTAGACAGCATAGGATATAGTAAATGTTAGTGTTGCTAAGAACTCAGATTTTCAGTAAGAATAACTAGAATCTCAAACATAAAATCAATAAAAGTTACAATTTTAATTGAAGTATCAATATGAATTTCCCTTCAAAATAAAAAATGCATTTAGGAGCCCAAACTACTAAAAATTTCTAGAAGCACTAACCAACCCAGCAATCATGAGTACAAGTGTCCAGATGGTAATTGCTAATAATAGCATTTCCTACTCTAAAAAGTCAGACCTTCAGCCAGGTGTGGTGACTCCAGCCTATAATCCTAGCACTTGGGAGGCTGAGGCAGGAAGATCCTCACCATTTTGAAAGTAGCCTGAAATACACTGTGAGTTCAAGGCCAGCCTGAACTACATAGCAAGACCCTGTCTCAAAAAAACAAAACAAGTCAGACTTTCTTGGGGAAATGGTTGATTCTAGGTCTGGGGTTAGAAATGTAGAGGATGAGCCTGGGCATACCAGGAAGCCAAGAAGATGACAAAGACTACAAGGGTTGTGCCAAAATGATTCAGAAGCCAACTTGAATGTGTACCCATTTATCAAAGATGGGGCACCCTAGGCACAACAAATGTATTTAAATTCATAATGATACAAAACAACACAGTGGACAAATCTGAAGTATACCAAGGAACACAATATTTTATAAACAAATGAAAGGGAAAAAGGAAGAACATATGTCCTGTCTTTCCTACATAAACTGTATCTCAGAATTACCAAAAGAGGCAATATGTCTCTATGTACTCCAGCTAATAATAAACAAGTTATAGACTAAGACCACTACTTTGCAACTCCCAGTGAATTAGGAAATGATCTTCCAGACTGAAAACCACACCAAAAGACCCACAACCAGACATTATGTATTTCCTGATGGAAGTAACACCACCATCTGTGAAGGAATCATGACCACAACAAACAACTCAATCCAAAGCCTGAATTTAATTAATTGAGACCCTAGATTTGTACTGTTTAATAGAGACACCAATAGCCACATGGAACTACAGACCATGTGAAATGTGGCTAGGGTGACTGAGGAACAAAAGTCTTTTTTTTTTTTGGACTGGGGATTTAAGTCGAGGAACAAGTCTTTTTTTTTTTTTTTTTTA